GACTAAATCTTGGGTCTTTGCCAAGTTTGAGGTAGAAACCCAGCTGTTTTGTAAACAGCTACTCGTGGATACTTGAATAAAAAAAGCTAAACCACTCCTCCATCATCCTCCACAGTCCCCCTTCAGAGGGATCTGTGCAACCAGCACGGGTTCCTAAACCCTTTGAAGATCCTGTAGTGTAAATAGAGCTGGTTCATTCTGCCCCTCCTGTCAGCCTGGGAATTATGTGTCTGCTTTGTCAGTTTCCTCTCATCCATCTGCTTTTCCGGTTTGATTGCTGCCTCCTGTCTCCCTCTCCCTGAGGTCATTTTGTCTGTCTTCCCACTCCATTAAGTACCGTGCGGCACCCTCTCTATCTGACAGTGCTTTCTCTCTTTATGTTGGAACACTTCTAGTGACTGTATTGTCCCCTTAGGGGCACTCGATGCTTTTCCTGTTGTTCCCTTCCTTGACTAGCTTTCCTTCTTATTGACTGTGTGAAAGATCCATGTTTATTTTCAGTATCCTCAGAATTAAGTATTCTTGCACTTCTTGGTCTTAAAAGTCACATGCTAAGAACCATTGCTCTCAGATATGGGCTTTCCTCTGTTCCTACTCACAGTGGAATGATTTCATTTTGCATTTCTTCTTAGGTTACGTTTTCTACTTAAATTATATAGGATGGTGTCCACAAGGAAGTGTCCTCTTCCAGGAAAAAACCAGTGTCCACCGAGGGACCTTCTTCAGGACAAACCCCAGGACAGTTGTTGGGTTGCGGAGGCCTTGGGCAAGTGAGGCTTAGTGTGGTTTGGGACTCGTGTTTTTCTTGCTTTCTCAGAATTCATGAGCTTTTGTCATTTTGAATGTTTCTTACTCTTTGTAGTTGTCCTCCCTGGCAAGTCCCACCCCATATTCTTCAGCGAGTATACCTCCCGTGTGAAATAGAAAGGTGACGGTACATTGGGCTGAGCAGTATTAACTACCCACAGACACATCTTTGTTATTTAATTATTTTGTTATTTATTCCATGTGTGGGTGTGCTTGAACTAAGTAATTTTTGGTAATTAAAGTTGCATTAAAAAAGTATAGCATGTGCACATTTTCACTTCTCTTTAAACTTCTTTTTCTTTGTGGAAATCTCTTTGGCTATGAAATCTCATTTTCCTTTCAGCCTTCTGATTCTTAGCCGAGTTTTGCTTAAGAAAATGTTCTGTCTTGAAATTAGGTTGGTTAATTGCAATTCCTTTTAATCATTTGGCGTCTGTTTACTCTGATGATAAACAGACAAAATCAAAAGCATTATTAATAAAATAGATTTGTTTCCTTGTATATTTACCTCTTTTATTGACACTTACCCATCTTGTTAAAACCCAAAGCTAGCGATTTTATATTGTAAGAAGCGTTTTTCAAAGCATGTTGGTTGTTTAGGGTATAGATGACGGTGGTAAGGATCTATGCCGTTTTTGAGGTGAGGTCCAAGTGTTTGGTTTTGAACTTTGTATTTTCTATATGGATTTTGGGGTGACTTATGTACCTACATTCTGTAAAATTCTGTTTATGATAATTCTACTTCTTCTTTTAGGAAAAATAACCCAAAACTCAGTGGTGTCATAATTTATAGCTTACAATCTGTTTATATTTACAAACTTGTACATCAATCTCCGCTGTCTACTTAGCGAACATTCAAAGGAAACCTTCGTACCTGCCAGTGGTCATTCCCATTCCCTCATGTCCCCGGTCCCTGGCAGACACTCATCTGCTTTCTGTCTATATGGATTTGCTTTTTTGGATAATTAATATAAATGAAATTACATAGTAAATGACTGTTACTTAAATTAGCATAATGTTTTCTAGGTTCTTCATCTACATTGTATGGAACATTTGTGAGACCTTCATTTCTTATTATAGCCATATAATATCCCATTTTATGGATAAACTACATTTTGTTTATCCATTCTTCAGTTTATGGTCATTTGGCTTGCTTTCACTTTTTTTAGCTATTAGTAATGCTATTGTGAACATTTGTATACAAGTTTTTGCATGGATATATGTTTTCATTTCTCTTGGGTATATACCTAATAGTGGAACAACTAGGTCATGTGGTAACCCTAGTTTTAACTTTCTGTGGATCTACCAAACATTCTAAAGCAGCTTGACGAAGCATTTACATTTCTACCAGCAATTTATTATGATTTTGCAATGAGATAAAAAAAATACATTCGGGCCGGGTACAGTGGCTTGCATCTATAATCCCAGCACTTAGGAGACCAAGGCAGGCAGACCACCTGAAGTCAGAGTTCCAGACCAGCCTAGTCAACATGATGAAACCCCATCTCTACTGAAAATACAAAAATTAGCCAGGCGTGGTGGAGGGCGCCTGTAATCCCAGCTACTCAGAAGGCTGAGGCAAGAGAATCGCTCGAACCTGGGAGGCAGAGGTTGCAGTGAATCAAGATCACACCACTGCCTCCAGTGTGGGCAACAAGAGTAAAACTCTGTCTCAAAAAAAAAAAGAAAAATACATTATAAGCCTGTCAACAGTTTTAACATCATTAATTTATGTAGCTCTCTTTTAAATCAAATAGGAAGAGAGTTACAAAGAAAATTACATTTATACTATAAATTTGCCTATATATATACATATATGTATGTATGTATGTATATATGTATATATATACCTTTACTACTGCTTTTATGTTTTTATGTGGATTTGAGTTGATGTCTACAATCTTTTCATTTCTGCCTGAAGACCTTCATTTAGTATTTCGTGTAGGGTGAGTCTGCTAGTAATACATTTTGTTTGTTTTTATTTATCTAGGAATATCCTAATTTCTCATTGTTTTTGAATGATTTTGCTCATTATAGAATTTTTGATTAACAATCCTTTTTTTTTTTTTTTAAATTTAAGACAGAGTCTTGCTCTGTTGCCCAGGCTGAAGTGCAGTGGCATAATCTTGGCTCACTACAACCTCCACTGCCCAGGTTCAAGCAATTCTCCAGCCTCTGCCTCCCGAGTAGCTGGGATTACAGGCATGCGCCACCATGCCCAGCTAATTTCTGTATTTTTAGTAGAGATAGGGTTTCACCATGTTGGCCAGGCTGGTCTCGAACTCCTGGCCTCAAGTAATCTGCCCACCTTGGCCTCCCAGTACTGGAATTACAGGCATGAACCACCGCGCCCAGCCAACAGTCTTTCTTCCTGCACGTTCAATATATCATCCACTACCTCCTGGTCTCCACTGTTTTTTATTTGAAGTTACTAATCATTTTCCGGATTTATTGTATAATCACTTTTATTTACCATTTTCAAAATCCTTTGTCCTTGTCTTTCAACAGTTTGATTATGAAGTGTTTAAGTGAGGATAGCTGAGTTTATCCTCTTTGGAGATCATTAAACTTCTTGGATGTGCAAATTAATTTTCGTTTCACTATTAATAGGCTATTTTTAGAGCAGTTTTATGTTTACAGAAAAATTACACAGGAAGTACGGAGAGTTTCCATTTATGACCTTAGTGTTTCTGTTGTTATTAATGTCTTGCATTAGTGTGGCACATTTTTTTTTTTTACAATTAAACCAACATTTAGACATTATTATTATTCATACTTTTTTTCAACTATTTTCTAACTCCCCATACTTGTTATACACATTATTATTATTAAAGGTTCACATTTTTTTTGTTGTACATTCTGTTATTTTATTGAAATTCTCAATTTGGTTGGATACCATTCTCATACTTTCTTTTAGTTATTTAGTTCTTTGAACATATTTATAAGAGCTGATTTCAAGCATTTGTTAAATCCAATGCCTGGGCTTCCTTGGGGACATTTTTATTGACAACTTTTTTTTTTGTTCCTGTATGTGGACCAGACTTTTGTGTTCCTGTATGTGGACCAGACTTTTGTGTTTCTTTGCATGCCTTGTAATTTTTTTGTTGAAACTGGATAGCTTCTAGTGTGTCAACCGTGGAAATCAGACCTCTACCCCTCCCCTGACCAGGACTTGTTGTTTTGTTATTGGTTTGTTTAGTGGCTTTCCCGGACCAGTTGTCCAAACTTTATATCCTTTTTTATGTGAGACCCACTCAAGTTTCTCTCAGTTAGCTTAGTGGTCTGCTCATAATTCCACAGAGATTTCCCTAAATGCCTTGAACCAGTAAGGGGCAGGAATTACTTACAGTCCTATTTTTTGTAGTGTTTTGATGTTTTAGTGGCTGAAATTCTTTTTTGAGTGTTACAGGGGAACTTTATTGAAAGGAAACATGATCACACCCAGCCGGCATGCTTTCCCTCAATCTCTATCTTGCACTGGCGCGCGCGCACGCGCGCACACACACACACACACACGCACACACAATCTCTAGCCCCTGCCATTGTGCAGTTCTCAGGCACAAGGCGGGACACTCACTCCTCAATTCCTAAGATCAAAGGCAGCAGGGGTCGAAGGGAGGCAAGATCGGGGAGAAGTAGCCTGGTCGTGCGTGGGGTCGGCAGGAAGTGGGTGCAGAGAGCAGGGGTGGGGCATGACCAGTGATTAGGTGCGCTCAACAGCTGCAAGAAGAGTGGGATCCCCAGCCCCAGGTGGCCTCGGCTCCGCCAGTCCCTCTCCATGGAGTCTTTTGGAGCAAGAACAGCGCCTGGGGGAGAAGGGTGGGGCCTCTCATCCCATACTAGCCCTCTTGGCAGGGTGGGGTACTGGAGGGGGCAGGGCAGGGCCGGCTGGTGGCGGGCGGCACTCAGCTCTGGGGCTCCTGGGGCGCCTCGCCCCCCTCTTCCCCGGCGTTGTCGGCCGTCCACAGCGTCAAGTTGTCTCGTAGCAGCTTCATGATGAGGGTGCTGTCTGTAGGAGTCCTCGCTGAGGGTGTGCAGATCAGCCATGGCCTCCTCGAAGGTGGTCTTGGCCAGCGAGATGGCCTCCTCGGGGCTGTTGATGATCTCGTGGTGGAAGACGAAAAAGTTCAGGGCCAGGCCCAGGCGGATGGGGTTGGTGGGCAGCATCTCCTTCTTGCTGATGTCCATGGCCTCCTGTTAGGCTGACCGGGCCGAATCAATGACGCACTTCTTGTCGTCACCGGTGGCCACCTCAGCCAGGTAGTGGTAGTAGTCACCCTTCATCTTCAGGTAGAAGACCCGGCTCTTGGCCTCCCCAGACTCCTGGATGAGGTGTCTGTCCAGCAGGCCCAGCATAGTGTCGCACATTCCCCTAAGCTCAGTCTCCACCTTCTCCCGGTACTCACGCACTTCAGGGCCCTTCTCCTCCGAGCCCTCCTCATTGCTTTTCTGCTCATTGTTGGACAGGACCCTCCAGGCACGCTTCTGGCCGCCCACCACGTTCTTGTAGGCCACAGAGAGCAGGTTTCGCTCTTCGCAGGAGAGCTCCTCGCACTTCTCGCGCTTCTCCACAGCGCCCTTCATGAAGGCTGCCGTGTCCTCATAGTGTTCGGCCTGCTCTGCCAGCTTGGCCTTCTGGATCAGACTGGCTCTCTCCATGGCTCTGGGGACAGATAGGTGGGCGGCGGGTAACTGCTGCCTGGGACCAATGCCGGACTCTGTGCCTCTCCTGCTCTCGGCCTGCCTTTTTTCGGTTGAAATTCTTATGTAATGTTTCAGAATCTCTGTGGTTGCTTTCTGATACAGGTGCAGAGTAGGGTGGTAATCAAGATTGTTAGAAGGAAATGAAATGAGCAACAAATTAAGCTGCAGAATTGTTTTGAATTTGCCAGTGAGCATTGGGAATCTTCACAGTGGAGGAAAGGATACACTGGATTTTTCAATCATACTGGACCGTTAAACTGTTTCTTGGTATACATTAAGGGAAATGCTGCTAGAGTTTTCTTTCAAAGAGCTTAACCTAAATTTCAAGATGTTTTCAAATATTTAGCAATCCACAAACATAGAATTAGAAAAATAAGTAAGACTAGAGAGAAGGAAATTTTAAAAGAGAAAAGTTAACCAGCCATAATTTTGAGAAAAGAAGTAAATAGGATTAGTTCAACAACATATTTTCTGGGTGTGTGAATACTATATTGGTAAAAAGACTAAATACTTTTCTTAACATTATTTTATATTAATGCTGGTCAGTTACTCGTTTTTATTTGTATGATTACTATTCACAACTCATTTCCTAATAAAATAGTTAAGTTTCTGGTGTTAAAAACTAGTGTCAAATCTCTAGAAATCTTGTTATGAACAGATTTGTAACAGTCGAATTGATAGTATTTGACTTTTTAAATTTTATTTTATTTATTTATTTTTTTTGAGACGGAGTTTCGCTCTTGTTACCCAGGCTGGAGTGCTATGGCGCGATCTGTTCACGGCAAGCTCCGCCTCCTGGGTTCAGGCAATTCTCCTGCCTCAGCCTCCTGAGTAGCTGGGATTACAGGCACGCGCCACCATGCCCAGCTAATTTTTGTATTTTTAGTGGAGATGGGGTTTTACCATGTTGACCTGGATGGTCTTGATCTCTTGACCTCGTGATCCACCCGCCTCGGCCTCCCAAAGTGCTGGGATTACAGGCGTGAGCCCCCGCACCCGGCCATTGACTTGTTTTTTAGAACAGCTGCGCTTATCAGCTGTAGAACCAATTGCCAAGTTATAAAATTGATTTTTGAAAACAAAACTATTTACATGTTTGTAAATATTTTATATAGTAAAAGTGGGTTGTAGTCCTGGAATCTGAATATAGACAAAAGGTCTGTCATAAATTACAATTTGTATACACTATCGTTTTCTACAAGACTTAGTTATTACAGCCTGTTATAACTATTGCAGAAAACTCAAGCTGTATCTCTCTTCTGGATTATGAATATTTTGGTTTCTTATAGTGTCTGGCATAGAACCTAACTCATTGTGGGGCCAACCCAACACAGTCCCAGATTGGGCCTGTTTTCAGCCGAGCCTTTTTAATCCAGTTTGAAAATTCCATGACTTGCCCTTCCTTCAGAGATACTTAAAAGTCACAACCATCTCTGAACTTCTCCCTAAGTGTGCCCCAAATCCTAAATCAGCAAAAAGCAGAATGGATCTGATCTCTTCAAATCTTTAGGGCTGCTGACATCAGCTAATGGACATTAAAAGATGTCAAGAGGAACTTAAATTACTAACGATTTCAAGAAAAGGGGCGCTAATTCTTAGAACTGGCACAGTGTTAGAAACTCACCAGCTATGGACTGTTTAATCATTATTGCCTAGGTCTCCAAATACGGTTTTGCGCCTCAGCACACCAGAGAGTAAAATGCTTGTTGTAAGGTATTCTAGTGCGTCCATGTACTGGGCTTTGGAATCTGTTTTTTCTTTTGTTTTCTTTTTCAATCTGTGGCATAAATACTAGAGACTGGGTCTCCCATACTACTACCACTTTTCCTGTGATTAAGTCACTTTGTTTTTGTTTTAAACCTAACCCCATAGCAAAGAGGACAGTTTTTGAGCCTGAGAAGATTTATTGTGAAAGACTCTCTCTCTCTCTCTCTCTCTCTCTCTCTCTCTCTCTCTGTATATATATATATATATATATATATATATATATATATATATATGATTACTGTCTCTCTATATATTTGTCTATATATATAATTGCTTTTTTTCAGTGATGTTCTTCATTTCAAGATGCCATTGCAGTTCCGACAAATGCAAACTGACAACGTTCAAGGCCACAACGGAGGAAAAATCATTGGTGCTTGGAGTGTAGAAGACTGCCCTTCACAAAGGAAATCCCTAATTATTGTTTGAAATGCTGAGGAAGTTGCTGCGAAGGAGACTTTTTTCTTATCCCACTAAATACTACTTTGTGGTTCTTGTTTTTTCCCTAATCACCTTCTCCGTTTTAAGGATTCATCAGAAGCCCGAATTTGTAAGTGTCAGACACTTGGAACTTGCTGGGGAGAATCCTAGTAGTGATATTAATTGCACCAAAGTTTTACAGGGTGATGTAAATGAAATCCAAAAGGTAAAGCTTGAGATCCTCACAGTGAAATTTAAAAAGCGCCCTCGGTGGACACCTGATGACTATATAAACATGACCAGTGACTGTAATTCTTTCATCAAGAGGCGCAAATATATTGTAGAGCCCCTTAGTAAAGAAGAGGCAGAGTTTCCAATAGCATATTCTATAGTGGTTCATCACAAGATTGAAATGCTTGACAGGCTATTGAGGGCCATCTATATGCCTCAGAATTTCTATTGCATTCATGTGGACAAAAAATCCGAGGATTCCTATTTAGCTGCAGTGATGGGCATTGCTTCCTGTTTCAGTAATGTCTTTGTGGCCAGCCGATTGGAGAGTGTGGTTTATGCATCGTGGAGCCGGGTTCAGGCTGACCTCAACTGCATGAAGGACCTCTACGCAATGAGGGCAAACTGGAAGTACTTGATAAATCTTTGTGGTATGGATTTCCCTATTAAAACCAACCTAGAAATTGTCAGGAAGCTCAAGTTGTTGATGGGAGAAAACAACCTGGAAACGGAGAGGATGCCATCCAATAAAGAAGAAAGGTGGAAAAAACGGTATGAGGTCATTAATGGAAAGTTGACAAACACAGGGACTGTCAAAATGCTTCCTCCACTGGAAACACCCCTTTTTTCTGGCAGTGCCTACTTTGTGGTCAGTAGGGAGTATGTGGGGTATGTACTACAGAATGAAAAAATCCAAAAGTTTATGGAGTGGGCGCAAGACACATACAGCCCTGATGAGTATCTCTGGGCTACCATCCAGAGGATTCCCGAAGTCCCGGGCTCACTCTCTGCCAGCCATAAGTACGATTTGTCTGACATGCACGCGGTTGCCAGGTTTGTCAAGTGGCAGTACTTTGAGGGTGACGTTTCCAAGGGAGCTCCCTACCCACCCTGCGATGGGGTGCACGTGCGCTCGGTGTGCATTTTCGGAGCTGGTGACTTGAACTGGATGCTGCGCAAGCACCACTTGTTTGCCAATAAGTTTGACGTGGATGTTGACCTCTTTGCCATCCAGTGTTTGGATGAGCATCTGAGACATAAAGCTTTGGAGACATTAAAACACTGACCATTACAGGCAATTTTATGAATAATACAAAGGATACACAAAACGTACCCTTCTCTGGTTCCCCTTCCGTCAGTAAGCGTCGGGAAGATGGTATGAGGTCCTTTTTGGGGCAAGGACTCTAGGTCTTCTTGTTAGAGATGCTGCATGGTTTCTCCAGAGCACCATTGGCTAGAAAGGTGATAGCATTAAATGTTCATCTAGAGTTAATGGTGGGAAGAGTAAAAGTAGCCTTGAGGCCAGAGCAGGTAGCAAGGCATTCTGGGGAGAGGACCAGGGTGTCTGGGGAAGCACCCGATGCATAAGGTCAACCTGTTCAAAGCGCTCAGGGACTTAGCAAAATGAGAAGATGTGACCTGTGCCAAAACTATTTTGAGAATTTTAAATGTGACAGTTTTTCTGGTATGAATAAACGTATAGCAACAGATAATCAAAGATACAATTAATCTGATGATATATTTGTTGAAATAGAAATTTGATTTTACTCTAAATGGTTTTTGTAAATTATTTTCTGCTCTAATACTGTAATGTGTAGTATGTCTCTGTATGTCATCTCAGGGAGCTTAAAATGGGCTTGATTTAACATTGTTTTGTGTTATTTTTGCTTGTAACAATGCACACTTCCAAAAACCAAAAAATAACAATTTCTAGTTTAGTGAATTTCCACAAATCATCTTAGGTTATTAGCAAAGTTAAGGCACCTTTTAAAAAAAATTATTATTATAGCTTCTACAAAGAGAAACACTCAATTTTTCTAGAGATTTGCCTCTATCTTCCTTTCCTCAGTCTCCCAAGACTCTGCTATCAAGCTGTGTTACTTTCAGTGGATCCTAAATTATTGTCTGTGCGATCTGACTGCCAGTAATTAGTGCAGAGAACTAAGAGAGGATGATACAGGTTTGAGGGGCCGGGGAGTGGGAGGGGGAGGAAAAGAGTTTATTTACACAATTTCTGATGCCCATAATGAGTTTAAAAACCAGCAATCAGCCAGGTGCGGTGGCTCACGCCTATAATCCCAGCACTTTGGGATCCACCCAAGGTGGGTGGATCATGAGGTCAAGAGATCGAGACCATCCTGGTCAACAAGGTGAAACCCTGTCTCTACTAAAAATACAAAAATTAGCTGGGCATGGTGGTGCACGCCTGTAGTCCCAGCTACTTGGGAGGCTGAGGCAGGAGAATTGCTTGAACCCAGAAGGTGGAGGTTGTGGTAAGCCTAGATTGTGCCATTGCACTCCAGTCCGGGTAACAACAGCAAAACTCTGTCTCAAAAAAAAAAAAAAGAATACAGCAATTGACACTATTCTCAAAATTAAGGCTGTTGTTCATTAAATTTACTTGTGTCCCACCTCCCAGGATTGTTTCATCCTAATGTCACCTGTGTCTTCATTTAAACGGATCTGGTTCTGTCCTTGGGTCTTCCTGATATCTGCCCCTGAATTGTAAATTTTCTCCTTTCTCAATCTTCCATGAGGAGGAAAGAAGTGTGCAGTCATTCCACATGACCTGTTGGAAGACCTGGGAAGGGAACTTTAGGTTTGGGGCATATTTTTGTTGGTGGTGGTGTCATTCACAGCATACGATTTTTACTCTCTCCATTTTCACCATAATTTGGGGATGCTGTAGTGCTGTCTCACATCTCAAAAAGTAAATTCAAATCTTAAAAAGCAGTCTTGTAATTTAGCTGTGTTGATACGGTTCAACCAACAAGCTACCAGGGAACTGTGAGGCCTTGTCCTTTAGCGTTAGACTTTAAACAAGAATTAAAACCACAGGCTGTATTTTTAAAACATAGCCAAATTAAATGGTACATGAGAAATTCAGAGTATTAGACAGTTTTAAGGCATTCAACTGAGAAACCCTTTTTTATTCCTCAAAGTCAGAAAGCATTTTCATTTATTGAGAGATGCATTTTTAAACTTTATCATTTGTAAATGTGGAAATTGGTGGATTGCTGTTTTTTGCACAATTAGCATGGGAGTTTGTGTTGGAGCAGGAGGAACATGTTCGTTTTGAAAACTCAAGAGATGATATTGATGAGGGCGGTACATGCAATGTGTTCTCTGTTTATTGGCTTCTAAACCAGTTTTTTCCTTTAATATATGTCAAATATTTCTCCTTGCTTCTTTTAGCAGAAAAGTTTTTTACCTATAAGATAGGGCACTTTTTAACTCTCAAACTATTGATACTCAGTGACATACACTTTGTCTTATAAGCATTTTTTCATTTTTTATTTTGAAAAATTGCTAATCTACATCAAAAGTAAAACAGTAGTAGAGCAAACACCATTAAACCCTCACCTGGTATTAACATTGTGCCCTGTTTGCTTTAAGTTATATGTATTTTTGAATTTGGCAAAATTGGAAATTAGATTTTTTTAAAATTACAAATATACAAAGTTATTTATCTCAGCATATTTATTACAGTGTGACTGCATCTGATTTATATTTAAATTGGCAGGTTTTGAGGGTTTCTTTCTTCATCATAAATGTAAAAATAGGATTTTAGAGTCTATTTCCCCAAGCCTCACATTAAAACTGTAGACCTACTATCCTCTCTGTAGCTGTGATATCTCATCTTTCTAGAATGACACTTGTTAAAAAGTGTTTGAACACTATACCTAATGCCTGTGGCAGAGATTATGTGCGATCCATTCATTGGGGGTCAAAGTATTTCACTTTTAAACTTTTTAGAATAATTTACAGCAAATGAAACTTATGAGGCTGTGACAAGAAATTTAAAGAATCAAAACGATGGTTTGAAAAGGAAGCCTGTGATACACACAGAAGCAAAACCCAAGTGATTTGTGAGAAATATAGAAATTATCTAAATTACTTTATAGTAATTATTAAACACTAATTTATTTGTACTGTCATTGAAGGTGTTTTATAGAGAAATCTGAGAAATCACATTCACAAATTAGAAGTCAAACAAGGGCGGGCATGGTGGCTCATACCTGTAATCTTAGCACTTTGGGAGGCTGAGGTGGGGGATTGCCTGGGTTCAGGATTTCAAGACCAGCCTGGCCAACATGACAAAACCCCATCTCTATTGAAATTACAAAAAAAAAAAAAATTAGCCAGTCATGTGCCTATAATCCCAGTTACCCAAGAAGCTGAGACAGGAGAATTGCTTGAACCCAGGAGGTGGAAGTTGCTGTGAGTTGAGACTGTACCACTGCACTCCAGCCTGGGTGACAGCGAAACTCTGTCTCCAAAAAAACATAAATAAGAAGTCCTTAAAGATATGTGAACAAAAATTTTGTGATGGAAGAATTCTAGCTAATGAGTATTGCATCAAGATTTACATATTTCTTACTAATGACAAGAGTTAATAAAAATTGTTCCTTATTTTACAGGCAGTTACTGAAGCTCTTCCCAGATCTTGGTAAACAGTCACTCACCCTTGAAAATGTGGAGCGTTGTTTCTAAACATATATTTGTGTCATTTATTAAGTACAGGTCACTTAAATATAAGTAGATTTTTTCTTCCAGTGATTTGGGTAGGAAGAGGCCATGTTTCGGTTTGTTTCCTCTGTAGTGTCGATTGAATTGGACTTTTTCAGTTGTTTAGAAAAATAAAAATAATTTCTCATTATGTTAACTATGGACGTTCCTCAGCTTATGATGTGGCTAGGTCCCGGTAAACTCATTATAATTTGAAAATATCATATTGAAAATGCATTTAATATCTCTAACCTGAAATCATAACTTAGCCTAGCCTGCCTTACATGTTCTCAGAACATTTAGCCTGCAGTTGGGCAAAACCGTTTAACACAAAGCCTATTTTATACTAAAGTGTTGAATAGCTCATGTTATTTATTGAATACTGTTCTGAAAGTGAGAAACAATGGTTGTATGGATACTCGAAAGCATATCACTTGTGCACTGTGGTAAAGCTGAAAGATTGTAAGTCAAACCTCTTATGATTTTTAAGTAAGTTGGAGACCATCAGTTTAAAATAAATGCAATACTATTTCATGATTAACATGGTTTGCTGTAAGTTTTACTCCTTTGAATGTGGGCAAGATGGAATGCAGTTAGAATCAGTCATATCACCATTAAAATCAGCCATTCAGAAACCAATGCCTTGTCTACACACATTTTTTATTCCTTTTTCTGTTAGCAACCAGCACTCAAATGTTAAATTTGGTAGTTGATGTACTTGGTAACAAATTAGTGTGTGCAAGTAGTGATTTGAAATAAGATTCATTCTCAAGGCACAAATGTCAGAGGGGAAGAGAGGATGTCAAAAACAAACTAACACAGAGCACAGAGATTATTGGGGGGCTTTAGAAGCATGTAATTGAATGGCCAGTATTGCATTTTAGGACATTAGACACTTCTGCTGTGTCTGCTGAGGAAAAAACAGTTTTCCAGTCAGTAGCAAAGATTAATAGGAACTGTCACCTGCTGTGGTTTGAATGTGATGGGCACAGCTGAGTGAAAAGGGACCCATGACCCCAACATTGAGTACCTGCTCCAAATAATGTCACACCAGATCTATTAAACACTTTGGGGTGCTCTTTAGCCCTAAATTAGGTGAAACAGATTCTAGAAAGTGGCAAAATTGATGAATTTCAGGTTTTTTCTAAAGCTTGAGAGCTTTACGTATTCTTTACAATTTTGTTTTTAATACGTGCTTTAATGTTTTCAGGGCTTGTCATCAGAATATTGATTTAATTTTTTTAGTGCAGTAAGACCCAAACTAGAAATGAATTACAACTATTGGGAAAGAAAAAACTATTGCTATTATTGCAGATAATATAATGGTCCAAGTAGAAAGCCCAGGAATCTTGCCTTAAAATTGATATAAAATTAGCAAAAACCTCCAGATATCCAACAGGCTTTGTCAAATTTATAGACACACTGAGTATTTGTGCAAGAACGACGATAACAGAAGACCTGTATGGTGTTCTGTTATTTACTGCTCCTAGCTGATAAAATGAAATATTTTAAATGTTTCTTCTATTTGTGAATTAATTGAATGCAAGTCTAATAACGCTCTCAATGGCTTGATAGTGTTATTCTAAATTTCATCTGAAAAATGTGCAAGAATAGGAATATTTTGAAAGCAAAGTAATGAAATCTTGAAATACTAGATAAAAAGCCATATTTCATCACTAAAAAATATTGAAAATGTACCAATAGCTTACATTTGAACTGTCATACCAATGCAGTAGTAGCCTAGATATATAAATTAAATATCCCCCAAATCCTAGGAACATAAGGAAGGTACGCTTTTGGAGAATACTAGATTGTAGCTTTATAATGTGCACCAAAATCCAGATGAAAATGAAAATAAACTAGAAGACCATATTAGTGACTATCTTTGGATATGACAGAATTTCCAAATAAAAGTAATGGGAGGATTCATTAAGGAGCAGATTATAGATGTAACTAAAAATATGTATCTTCTGAATATGAGAAAGTAAATGGCAAATGAGATTAGAAAATTTGCCTGCAGATTCTGAAAGAGGGAGGCTTAATGCCTTAATATAGAAATGACTTATGCTAATATTTAAAAACAGCTTTATTGAGATGATTCATATACCATACAGTTAACCCATTTAAAGTGTGTACTTGTGGTTTTTTATTATAACCATTACCATAATCCATTTCATTTTTATTTTTATTGATTTATTTTTTTTAAGATAGAATTTCATTCTTGTTGCCTAGGCTGGAGTGCAAGAGCGCGATCTCAACTCACCACAACCTCTGCCTCCCAGGTTCAAGCAATTCTCCTGCATCAGCCTCCCAAGTAGCTGTGATTACAGACATGCACCACCACACCCGGCTAATTTTGTATTTTTAGTAGAGACAGGGTTTCTCCATGTTGGTTAGGCTGGTCTTGAACTCCCGATCTCAGATGATCTGCCCACCTCAGCCTCCCAAAGTGCTGGGATTACAGGCATGAGTTACCGCGCCTGGCCTATTTTTATTTTTATTTTAAATATGGCAACAAATTCTCACTATGTAGCCCAGGTCTCAAACTCCTGAGCTCAAGCAATTCTCCCACCTCAGCCTCCCAAAGTGTTGGGATTACAAGTGTGAGCCACCATGCCTGGCCCATAATCAATTTTAGAACCTCTTCATCACCCCAAAAAGAAACCCTGTACTCTTGATAGTCACTCCCCATAATTCCCTCATACTAATACACATATTTTTAAACATGAAGACTCCAAGAGAAAAATGAACAAAGGATGTAACAACTCAGAAGTGGAGTAAGAGAAATAGAAATGGCGAATATGAAAAATTGTAATTCAATAAAGATTCAAATTAAAAGAAAATTTTTCTATATCAAATTAGCAGTTTTGGTGTTTTCTTTTCTAAAATATCCTTGATACTTGAGAGACTTTATTGAGAAATAAGACTACATATAATGTGATCTCAATTATGAAAAGTATTGAACAGAAAGGAGCATTCAGAATTTCCTGAAGTCACATCCTCATATTTTGAGGATGACTCTTTCCAGCTCCATAAAATTGTTGCCAAATATGTACTTGGAGCTTTTTCCACATATGGTTTGCCTTAGGGAGTCTTATGCTTCCCAGCCCCAGTCTTTATTTAGGGGAGGAAGGAGCCATGCTTTCTCTCCACTCATCCACTGACAGGAGTGTTTTAGATGTAACTGTTAGTGCTTAGCAGTGTCAAGGCCCTGTATTCTGCTTAACCTTGTAAGGTAGCCCATTGTATACCACATCGAAGAGAACCCTTTGCAGCAGTAGCCAGAATAACCAATCCTATGGGCCACTGTCACTGTCCATCTGACTTCAGGAGCCCAGGATGCTTAGACTGATGGCAGTTTTGCCTCTCATGCCTTGGAATGTATCTATGGAATTTCATTTTCTGATACCAGATACATGTTGATTTAATTGCTTGTTAGGTGAGGATGGCCTGGTTCCTTGAGCTGCATGCCAGTGGGAAACATATGTTCCTCCTTAGCAGGAGGACTTGAGAAGATTCATACCCTCCAGCAGCATCCATCCGCACATCTGACTGTGGGACTAACTTGGATGAGCATTATTGGTGCCGGAGGAGGATCTTGTTTAACTAGATAATTTTGTGGGTTTCATATGAAGGCTCATTGACCCTTAAGATTAGTTAGGACACAGAAACTGGTGGGTTTTTTTTTTTTTTTTCTGCAAAACACAGATACCACTATCACTGGCTTAATTTACTTATAATTTACTTTCTTTGCCATTAGACTCATTAGCAAATGCTTCCTGGCCCAGTTAGAATTCCCTTATTTGACTTGATGCAAGGAGAAGTGTTTTCTCTTCAGGAAAACTTTTCCTGCCCCTCCACTCAAGACTGCTCCTTTAAATATGTTCCTCAAAGCCCACTGAGCTAATCTGGACAACAGCTAGCATTTGTTGAGCATTTACTTACTGCCTATTCTAAGCACTTTGGATATATTATTTCCTTTCACTCCATAACAACCTTGGGAGTGGGCACTACTTACAAAAAATTGGCCCAATTTACAAAAGAAGTAAAGAAAAGCATGAATCTATAATAAAAAGCTTGGGAAAAAAAAGTTTTTCTCTGATTCCTTTACCCCTATTTCACCATTTTAACCACCCATCGTCTTCCCCAGACCCTGGCCTGCTGTGAGTGAAGCACAGCTCTTTATTTTTGAGACAGGGTCTCATTGCATCACGCAGGCTGGAATGTAGTGGCACCATCATGGCTCACTGCAGCCTTGACTTTCTGGGCTCCAGTGATCCTCCCACCTCAGCCTCCAGAGTAGCTCAGACAACAGGCATGCACTACCATGCCCGGCTAATTTTTGTCTTTTTTATAGAAATGGGATTTCACCATGCTGCCTAGGCTGGTCTTGAACTCATGAGCTCAAGCAATCCACTTGCCTCAGCCTCCCGAAGTGCTGGGATTATAGGCATGACCCACTGTACCCAGCTAGCCCATCTTGTTTTAAATAAGAAATGCATTGAGAAATAAAGGGACAGAAACAGAATTAATCCATAAGTCTTACTGAAACCACCTCAAAGGATGTAAGGAGAGAGAAAGGAGAGAAAGTAAGCACCAAGTAGATGACGGGAGGCGGAAGGCAGAGGCAGGCTCAGAGGAAGGGGAGAAGCAGAGGAGGAGCAGGGCATAGAAGCTGTCAGAGGAATTTTCACAAAGCCGTGTCTGCTCGGGTGCAGTGGCTCTTTGGAAGAGCCAGCACTTTGGAAGGTAGAGGCAAGTAGATCACCTGAAGTCAGGAGTGGGAGACCAGCCTGGTCAACATGGTGAAACCCTGTCTCTACTAAAAATGCAAAAATTAGCTGGGTGTGGTGGTGCAGGCCTGTAATCCCAGCTACGTGGGAGGCTGAGGCAGGAGGATTGCTTGAACCCTCCATGGGGAGGTTGCAGTGAGCTGAGATCATGCCACTGCACTCCAGCCTGGAGGACAGAGTGAGATCTGTCTCAAAAAAAAAAAAAAAAAAAAAAAAAAGAAACTCCTACCTGTCTTCACACTGGTTCAAAGCATAGGAGATTTGAGAAGGGAACATTCTGACTTAAAGTATATGGCAATGTCAACCCCCAGTTTCCAGGGACAGTCTCTGTACTAGTTGGTTCTCACACTGCTAATAAAGACTCCAGACTGGGTAATTAAGAGGTTCTATGGATTCACAGTTCCACATGGCTGGGGAGTCCTGACAATCATGGCAGAAGGCGGATGAAGAACAAATTCACATCTTACGTGGTGGGAGGCAAGAAAAAGTGTGTAGGGGAACTCCCATTTATAAAACCATCAGATCTTGTGAGACTTATTCACTATCATAAGAACAGTGCTGAAAAGACCCACCCCCATGATTCAATTACCTCTCACTGTGTCCCTCCCACGACACATGGAGATTATGGGAGCTACAATTCAAGATGAGATTTGGGTCGGGACACAGCCAAACCAAATTAGTCTCTGTTTATGTCTATTTTCCAGTAGACTGCTGTTTCTCTAATGTAGTATGTGCTCATTGCATGTGT